TGTCAGGTCCTGTACCCACAAGCAATAGCAATTTACCCAAAACTTCAATTTGTAATTTTTCGAGGAACGATACACTGGAAAAATAAATAGAAAAATTTTGGCTACTTGAGGAGTGCAAATACAAAAGGTTTCTTTCAGAAGAGGAGGAGTTTTGTGAAACTCATTTCAAAACAAATACAAAAATAAATTCTGATGGTAGATTTATTGTCAAATTTCCCCTAAAACATGACTTTTCGGTACTTGGTGATTCACGTGTAGCTGCAACCAACCGATTCTACTCTCTGGAGAAAAAACTTAATGCAAATCCCAAGTTAGGGATACAATATACCAATTTTATGGATGAATACATATCCCTACAACACATGAATCTCGCAATCAATCAAAATGATTCTTCTGGATTTTATCTACCCCATCATTGTGTAATAAAGGATTCGAGTACAACCACCCGTCTTCGAGTAGTTTTCGACGGTTCAGCTAAATCTTCATCTGGTTTTTCGATTAACGATCTAATGTTGGTAGGCCCTACTGTTCAGGACGATCTTCTTTCAATTGTTTTAAGATTTAGATCTTACCCTATCGTTTTGTGTGCTGACATTGAAAAAATGTATCGGCAGGTACTTGTTTCTCCTGAGCAGAGGTGCTTACAAAAAATTCTTTGGAGGTCAAATCCTTCTGATTGTTTACAAACTTTTGAGCTGAATACCATAACTTATGGTACTGCCTCTTCATCTTACTTGGCTACTAGGTGTTTGCAGGAAGTCGGCCTTTTACATAAAGACTCTGATCCTAAAATTAGTTCTGTAATCCTACACGATTTCTACGTTGATGATTTGTTGACAGGCGGCAGCACTATCGATGACGTCAGAGATCTGAAAATTAGACTTTACGATATCTTGAAGTCTCATGGATTTGTACTTAGGAAATGGTCATCTAATGTCTTTGAACTATCCGATATAAACACTATTTTACATTTCGATCCAACACAACCTAGTAAAACCCTTGGTCTGCTTTGGGATCCATCTGCTGATACTTTGCAATATAAAATTGAAGAAAATCCAAATGTAAAAATAACTACACGTCAAATCTTATCATCAATAGCTCAAATCTTCGATCCATTGGGTCTACTCTCGCCTGTTAGTGTGATAGCTAAAATGATTTTGCAACGTCTTTGGAGCCTAAAATTATCGTGGGATGAAAGTATTCCTATGGAACTTCATACTATTTGGATTAATTATCGTAGGTACGCAACTCTTTGAGCTCAATAAAATACAGTTTCCTCGTAATATATTTGGTAACAATACTACTTCCTTTCAATTACATGGTTTTTCGGATGCATCTACAACTGCATACGGTGCTTGTGTCTATGTCACCTTTGTTTACTCGAATAATGAATATCACTCCCAACTTCTCTGCGCTAAAACAAGAGTAGCCCCACTCAAGCACACTACGATCCCAAAACTGGAATTGTGTGCGGCTTTGTTGCTGGCTGAACTTGTTGATAAAGTAAAGTCCTCACTTAACGTCTCGTTTGAAAACATATATTATTGGTGTGACTCTACTATTGTTATCAGCTGGATAAACACATCCACTAATCTTCTTAAATAATTCGTTGCTAATCGTATTGAACAAATTCAATCTCTTTCTGCATCTTCATCTTGGAATTACGTTAGAACTACAGAAAATCCTGCTGACCTTCTTAGTCGTGGATTGCAACCTGCAAACCTCTTGAACTCTAATTTGTGGTTTAATGGTCCTCTTTGGCTTTGTTTACCTCAGGAGCAGTGGCCTAATACTCCAATACCAGAAGTTCCTGATGAGTTACCAGAACTGAAAAATAAACAAATTGCATTGCTTTTGGTACGCAATGATTTATTAAATGTCATACACAACACTTCATCTTTAATTCGACTACAGCGCCACTTTACTTTTATCATTCGTTTTAAAGATAATTGTCTAAAGTCAAAACAGTTAAGAACAATAGGTCCACTTACTTGCAGTGAACTCCAGGAATCTATGAACATTATTTTAAAACTGGTGCAATCATCCTCACTTTCTACAGATTACCAGAGTCTACTTAAGATAAAAAAGGTTGAATCTAATAGTCGTTTACTTTGTTTGAATCCTTTCTTAGATTCTAATGGTTTAATTCGTGTTGGGGGACGAATCACTAACTCCAACTCGTTCTCTTTCTTTCATGAATTCCTGTGTGTTTTTGGGTTTTTTTTCCCTAGCTTATAGCGGCACCATTTCAGTGTAGTTTGGTACCGGCATGCATTGATTATAGGTACTACCTGATTTTAATTTAAGAAAAAAAAAGTAACAACAATAACTTTAGAGTTACCAGTTTTAATATTTCTGTTTTTGTTCTTGATAATTTTAAATGTTATGTCTACAGTGTTTGTCTTTTTGTTTTTATTTTTATTTTAACGTGTTACGGCTTGTGTGTTTTTTGAATTCCGTAATTTACATAATATAATGATGACGTTCCAAAGACAAAAAAACTTTTGTAATACCTATAAGATCTGTGATACAATTATTTTAATGACAAGGAAAGTTAATTTTTAAATGTAAGTAGTAGTCAGTATGTTCCTAATGTCCACCTTTTAATTATTTATTTATTTATTAAATTTTTCACGTCTTTTGTAGTGTCCTGAGGATGCAAATAAATTTTGCGAAACATCGACAATTTTGAAAAAAACAAACTTCCGTTGGTGTTTTTTTTTTTTCCGATCCTACCCCAATCAAAACAAAGCAAAATATCAATTTTTGGATCGACAACGCTCTAATTGGATCCAACTATAGTTTTTCAGAAAAAACATCCTATAATTCTGCCTCCGAAACATCATTTTACTATTATGATTGTCAGACATGAGCATGAGACTCAACTACATTGTGGGCCTCAAGCACTTCTTGCATCATTACGACAAAATTTTTGGCCTCTTGACGGCAAGAATTTAGTTAGAAATATCGTTCGCAATTGTGTTACTTGTTTCAAGGCTTCTCCCTCACCAGAGAAACACATTATGGGAGACCTCCCTGCTGATCGTTGTACACCTTCACGTCCATTTTTGGTTTCTGGTGTAGACTACGCTGGGCCATTTTTATTAAAGGACAGGCCTACTAGAAACCCAAAAATCATTAAAGCCTATATAGCATTATTTATTTGCTTTAGTACAAAGGCTATTCATCTTGAATTGGTTAGTGATCTAACTAGCCAATGCTATATTGCAGCTTTACGAAGATTCATGTCTCGTCGTGGAAAGTGTGTCCGAATATATAGTGACAATAGTACTACATTTGTTGGCGCCGCCAAAGAGATAGGTACATACTTTCTTTGAACAAGATAAAAATTCAATCACAACTGAACTCGCAAATGACAACATTGAATTTTTATTTATTCCGCCTCGAGCGCCTCACTTTGGTGGACTCTGGGAGGCCGGTGTTAAAACCGTCAAGCATCACCTAAAGCGAGTGGTTGGCAACGTTCCATTGAATTTTGAGGATTTTTACACCGTGCTTTGTCAGATCGAAGCATGTGTAAATTCTAGACCTCTTTTTGCAATTTCAACCGATCCTAACGATTATATTCCCCTCACTCCCGCACACTTCTTAATTGGTGAAACATTCAACAATGCATTACCTTCACGTCAAATGCTCGATGTCAAAGAAAATCAGTTGTCCAAGTACGAAAAATTCCAAAAAATGGTACAGCATTTTTGGTCCCGTTGGGCGAAAGAATACATTTCAAACCTACAAGTCCGCTCTAAATGGAAGAAACACTTTGATGATATTCTCAAGCCTGGTCTTCTAGTACTTGTGAAGGAAGATGGAGTTCCTCCACTGAAATGGTGCACAGGAAGAATAACAGACATTCATCCTGGGTCAGATGGTGTGACACGTGCTGTAACAATCAAAAACAGTTCTGGAATTTTCAAGAGACCGGTGGTGGAAATTTGTGTGCTTCCGAACCAATCATGACTTTAATTTGTTAAATTTGTTGAATGCCCTTAAGGTCTTCAAGGGAGCCGGTATGTTTATTGCCTTAATACGACCCTGTCTTTTTCCACCCCGTGCAGTGCTGCTACGGCTAGCAAAGTGAGAGACTTTAAAACTAACTCTTTCTCATTCTCAATAGAACGGTACACAGGGTGCATGATTCTGTTACATTTTGTTATATTTATACATTTTTCACCTTATGTAAATCAAAAATAAATGGTTAAAGTATGAAAACTTAGTCAACATTATTTTAAATATATGCAGAAGCTCATACATCTCAACAACTGCTTAAGGATAAACCTTCAAGTCTAAGGCTTGATAAAGTCTTCATTGAAGGCGAAACGTTGCTGAAAGACTAATTGGTTTTCTTCCGTATCCCTTAGCCCAAGAAATTTTCAAATAGAAATAGAGTGTATAATTCAGTCCTTGCGGTCTGAAATATCCATTCTAATCCCTAGGGATATAAGGAGTTGCTTAAGTCAACCTTTACAGAAACTGAAGTATGTATATGATATTAGTCACAAAACTAGAAAAAAATTACATTTCAAATAAGTACCTATGTAGCTGATAAGAATTATCTTTAGCTAAGAATTATTTTAAACTTGAATCTGCAAAGTTATTGAAAAACGTATTCCAATAAAGCTACAGCCAACTTTTCCGATATCTACGACGATAAGTAAGAAAATTCACTTTTCAAACGAAACAGATATTGTTTGTATCAATTTTATCCACCAAATTTTGTTTGTGTCTCATTTTGTCCCATTCCAATCTCACTGCAGATTATTAATATTGCCGACAGCATATTATACGGCCACGTAACAAAGACATTTCAGTAGTAAAAATAGAATGCAGTTGTGTAGGCCAAATGCACCGTTATGATCCATCATGTACCCAGCTCTCTGTGTGAAGCATCTACTTTGCTCTAATAGCGGCGATAAAATAGATAAATGGTCTTTTGTAATATGTGCTGCTTTAATTTGTCTACTGGGACATATTTTGCTTACCTAAAATAATTGTTCAGTTTCCTCCATTCGATTAAAAGTCCTTCACCTTTGTAGATTGCAACAAGATCAAAATAAACGGTAATAATACTGGATTGTTCTCGTACAGGAGTGGAAAAACCTCTAAATGCTATGTCTGACGCATTCAACGCAGCTTCCAAACTAATTTCTCTGGCACTAAATAATTCTTCTAAGTCACAACAATTCGTTAGATTGCTTACTAGCAAAACGATGGATAGCACTGTGAATGTTTTAATAATCATTTTGAAGTATTTTTTTATAGAACACGCACAATAAAGTTACATAGTTAAATCTAGTAAGTCTAACTTTATGTTGAATTCATTTAGGCTTCTCAATTTTCATTTTTGGGAAGACAATTTCAACCTGCAACAAAAAAAATCATGTTAAAATTGTGACAGTAAATAGCGTTGAGATATTTAAAAAATTATTGCGAACATAGGTTTCTTTATTTTGTGGATATTGGATATGAATAACGATTGCTTAATGCAGATCAGAATCCACTCATAATGGTATATGCTTTCGAAAATTCAATCCTATTCGTCGCACTTTGCCTTTTGTGATTTCAGTAACAAACCAAAAAGATGGATTGAATAGCCATTTTAAGCACCACTTCCAATTTGTTTTAACTGTTTCATTACTTTCATTCAATAACTTTCCCTAATGAGGTTTTCGAAAGTCAAGAGGCAAGTTCCGAATTAAGGGTTCATATTGTAGAAGGGTTGACATATTAGCTTTGAACAGGGGTTGGGGCTTTTAAATTTTGAGTTTGAAAATGTTAATGAAATATAGGTACCGTTTTCCACGATTAGATCGGAATTTAAAATTAAATTGGAAGTGGGTAAAGGACCTCAATCACTATTAATTAAGCTGCCGCGTTTCACGCCAATCAAGGGTAATGAGTCGATTTTGAATTTCTATATGGGGAACAGCAGCTCTCTTCCACATTTTAGGACCTTTGTTGTTATGTAAACTTTTTACAACTCAAAATATTAAAAAAAACAATATTTACTATAAAAGTAAAGCTTAACCTTCCATTAGTCGCGCGTGTATATGACAGATACATGCCTATTATTTTTGCAAATAAATCAAAAAGGAAAAACCCTATAATATTATGGCTTGTAGTAGTCCTTAGGTACCCTATACTAATCACTTTCCCAAAATTATATGGTCATACCTCTATTTGGAAATTTAGAATTTCCAAAAAACTATGAATCCGCTCGGCTTTGTGCCTGACTGATACATCGTGACTTTTCTTATTACCAGCGGTGCTCCTCAATTGTAACTGTTTTCTTGGTATTTTTTCCATATAAATATTATGGTACAAGAGGCTGTTCATCTTAGGTGAAGATGGAACTCGATGAGACAAAATTCCTCCCAAGCTGACTCGGAAGAGACCACATAATATGGTAAAGCTGCCAGGCGTTGTTGGCCAAACTGCAACGACTGCAAAAACAGAATCCAGCTTCTGGAATTTCTTTTTCAGTAAAAAGTGATTGTTGAGTACACGAATAAATACATAAAAATTGTAAAACCGAAATTCATCAGATGGTTCAATTTTTTTATCAATGATTTATTACATGTATCTCTGTGATACAGCGCGACTAATGAGGTTATAAAAACTCGCGCGCCTAATGGAGGGTTAAAGCTATTGAGAAAACTGCACCTCAGCAAGTTATCCTGTGTGAACATGTCATGCCAAATACCGCTCCATCGTCGCAACGATCCCATAGAAACAGCAAGATCAACATGTTTTGAAATATAAAGGGCCCCATACACTACGATGAAACACGACGGTTTTCACCGCCACGATTAAACACGTCGTTCTAAAACCGATATGTTTAATAGAAAAACACGACGGTTTTCTACAGGGCCCCACAGACTACGATAAAACACGACGGTTTTCATCGCCACGATGAAACACGTCGAAACCGAAGTGTGGGTAGAAAACCGTCGTGTTCCATCGTCGGTTTAAAATTCAGTCCGAGCTTGATTTTTGGCACGACGGTTCAACACTTCGTACACACGAACGGTTTTCTACCACACACTTCGGTTTTGGAACGACGTGTTTCATCGTGGCAGTGAAAACCGTCGTGTTTCATCGTAGTGTATGGGGCCCTTAAAAGATCGTGCCTCTTTAGTTTAGTTTTTAAGCGTCATTATTCGTTAGTATTTTAAAATAAATTAGTTTTTTTTTAAAAAGCGATTTCAAGAGTTTTTGAGATAACAATTTGGCGCAGTCGGTAGAATCTGTCAACGTTGTCACAACAAGAAAATTCTAACTGATAGTGGCGGATTCTAATACCTTAACACATTGAGTGCCACGGCCATTTTGGGTATGTTTCCCAGAGGGCCAAGTTTTTTTTTTCAGTTTTTTTGAGTTTGACTTTCGAAATACGTTAGCTTTAGACGTTTTTTGATATCTTTTGTGTGATTCAACTGTCAAAAGAGGTTTTTGACGTGTCACCCTTATATGGGTGACGTGGCCTGCCAGTTTGTAAGTCGTTAATTTTTTCAGATTATAAGCAGAAAATGTAGAGAATTTTTTATTTTTTTTTTCACTTTCAATCATTATTTATTTGGTCTCCCATGTTTCAATGCAATACATTCGTAAACATTTTGATTTGCCTAGTTTGTGAGTCGTTTATTTATTTTTTATTATAAGTAGAAAGTGTAGAGAATTTTTTTTTTCCACTTTCAATTATTATTTTTTTTGAAAGATCTTCAAGTTTTGCTATTAGAATTATGGTATTTGGCAGTTTTTGAATAAAAAATTATTTTTTTCCCACTTTTCCCTTCCATTTTTTTTCAATGCCCGTAGAATATGTAAATTTAAAGATTTCCTAAAACCAACTATATCACAATGTTTCTCAGGGGGCCACCTTTCAGAATCCCTATTGAAAATACACTGATCGTCGCCTATATTTGTATGACGCGGCCTGGCGCGGAGTTATGCATGCAGGCCATGTCGCCCATATATGTATGACGCGGCCCACCGACATCACTGTCACCCATATATGTATGACGTGGCAACCAATGTGTTAAATAGAAAAAGAACGGAAGAATCCCAACTCGAAGTGAACACGACGAGAACACGACGATTCCATGGAGGCTATTCTTTTGATGTCAGTACCTAAAGAATTGCCTCGTTTATTTTTTTTGTTTGTTTTTATGATACTGTGCGATTTTTCAAACATTCCACATTATTTTTTATTTTTTTGCATTTACCATATTTTGCGAAGTTTTATTTTACCATATTTTGTTTATTTTGAAAAGTTTGCTAATCAATTATTTCCTTAAAAATCGTTTTATTTTACCAAATTTTGAAAATTTACCGACCAATTTTCGTTTCCATATTTTGAAAAGTTTGTCAACCATTTACCTTCGAAATATTTTTTTTTTGTTGTTGTTTTTGAATATCTTTATTTGAATCAACAAAATGCCTAATGAAACGAATGAAACCATTGTGGAAGTTGAACCATACAGACATTCTGAAATATTTTCGATAATTCCTGAACCTGAAGGAGATCAAATCTTTTTAGGAAACTTTATTAATGCATGCGATTGTGGCTACAATATGGCAACCACGCAGCAAAAAGTTTTACTTGTTATTCATATTAAAAATAAGCTCAGAGGTAGAGCAGGTCAACTGATAAGTTCTCGAAACCCCACTTCCTATTTGGAAATCAAACAACTTCTGAATTTACACTTTGGAGATTCTAGAGACCTCTCAGCTCTTATTCATGACCTCCAACGACTCAAACAACTACCTGGCGAGTCCCCACTTACTTTCTACAACAGACTCCAAGTACTGAATGCAAAAATGCATTCTTCTATCCAAAAGTCACCACACCTTAAAGCACAAGATAAAAAAGAAGCACAGTCCCCCCTTGTGGAATCTATGGCTCTGAACACTCTTCTTACAGGTCTAGAACCTCGCCTTGGCCAGATTATCAGAGCTGGAAGCCCACACACTCTTTTAGATGCTCAATGTAGAATCAGGAGAGAAATCCAACTTTCCTATTTTGAGAATCAGAAGACTCCAAAACCTGCTGTTTAAAAAGTTTTGGTCAACAAATCACAATCATCCATAAAATGCTTTTCTTGTGGAAAAATTGGCAACACAGCCAATCAATGTAGACAACAAGCTTCCAGTCGTTCAAACTTCACTCAATACCCAAAGCAAAATTTCCAAAAAACGACAACAGCTAACTACTCAGGCACCGCAAACCAACAACCAACAACCAATGTTCCGCAAAATAGAACCCAAAATGCATCTACTTCGAACCAATTCGTACCAAGATATGCTTCAACTACCCCTCAAAGAAACCCCAATTTTTACCCCAACCAGCAAAAAACTTATCTTTTAAATGATTCCTCTAATGAAACATATGCCAACGAATTTGAGTACGCTGAAAGCCCTCATTATGAACAAGATGCTAGTTATGAAGAAAACGAATATGTTGAACAGTTCACTAATGATCCGAATGCTGAAAATTATCAGGATTTTCTGGTACCTTGCACCAATCACCATCCGCCAGAGAATACCCCTCAGGATCAGACTTCAAATATCGAGACTCAAATACAACTTCTGAATCTAGACAACATGAATCCGAATCTCAATTTTCCGGAACAAGCATTTCTCTAAACCCAGTTCTTACTGTTAATTCGAAAAATCTGTACTACATTCATGATGCTTCCAATAAATTCAGATTACTTATTGATACAGGTGCAGGCATTTCAATTTTTAAAGAAAATACTGTCCAAAAATGCCCTTATCGTTCCGAAGAAAACGTAACCATTCAAGGTATCACCGATCAAAAACTCCAGATCCGTGAATTAACACTTGTACCGTTCACGCTCCAAGATCCTCACAAAGTGTATATTTACAACTTGGATAGTGATTTCGATGGAATTTTAGGGTTGGATTTCCTAGAGCATTATCAATGTGTGATAGATTTGAAAGCTAAAGAACTTATAACTAATTTCAAAACTATCCCTCTTCATAAAGTTACTGAAGATGAGTACCCTAATAATACAAAACCAAACAACACTCAAACAATTCTCAACAAAATATCTATAGAAGCTAGAAGTGAAAAGATCTTTGAACTCAAGTGTAATCTATCCCACACAGATACTTTACTCTTTTCTCAAGAAAAAGAAAAAGTCAGATTACCTAATGCTTTAGTAAAAGATAATGAACAAGGTGAATTTTTAACCTCAATTGTAAATATTAACGCCATGGACAAAACCGTAGAGTTTTCGAACTTGTCCATTGAACCATTTATCTCAGAAAGTGAAACTCAAAAAACCATTCTAAGTTTCAACAACTCTAACCTCGACTATGATGATACTTATGAAAGGCA